TCTACTATTCTTCTCTCTCTCTCTCTCTCTCTCTCTCTCTCTTTCTCTCTCTCTCTCTCTCTCTCTCTCTCCCCCTTCCTTTCTCTCCCTTCCTCTCTCCACCTTTCTATATTCTTGCTCCGCTCAAAAAGATCAGCGAGCAGAATTGAAAGAATGGGAAAAGCGAGAGTAAAAAGAAAAGGGAACGGAGGAAAACCAGAGGGCGAAAAGAACGGAGACCGAAACGGATAAATAAAGAACTATCGGAAAAAATCGAGAGCGAAAGTAATACAAAGAGCGCGTTAAGAAAGTGCTTGCGAGTCGCGATTATAACTTCACTTCGCCCGTGAAAAGTGAGAAATCATACAAGCTGACGAGTGCGTTCGATTCTCCTGATATCGAGCCAATCGAGTCGACGTAACGTAGTTTAACGTAGTTTCTTGGTATATAAAATCTTTTGATTTACATTATTATCAGCGTACTAAAAACAGCCAGACGATACGCTATTAAAGTTAATTAACCAAAACGATCGACGTAACTGTACGTGAATCCGCAAATTACGAGCGAATCGGAAGTCAATGTGCCGTCACGCAATAAATGCTGGATAGCCACGCGGTTAATGGCCACATAGTTATCAGTCCTGCAGTCTATGAGTTCTTGATTGAGCTCGTTTTTACGCGTGTACCGCCATTAATTGGCTGTGTGTTTCTCATTTTTATTTTGTAAGAAATGATAATTTCAGACGCCCGACAGACAGACGCCCGATGTTTTTTTACATACCGTTATCTTTTAATCCTGCTTAATGGCAAATCGAAATTTCAATGATGTTATTTTTACATTATTTTATTTCTTACGTTATAATAAACAGTAATAAAATATTAACAATAAAATAACAATAACGGACATTCACTATAAATTCAAATTGATAAGCTAAAAATTTATTTTGTTTTTTATATTCTTGAAACTTAAATTTATTACATTTTTATATTATTTGCATTTTTTAGCGTTAAAGAAATTGTTACTTTCGAAGTATCCATTTGAATAAAATCGATCTTTGACTTGTAACACTTTTGAATCCGGATATATTTTATAAATCTCACGTAGACAATTTCTGCGAATATCTTAACGTATAGACATAACATTGTAATCTATGGCACACATCATCCTACTTTACTTCATCCTATCGCGCGAGTATAAAACGTTCGCAAGCACCATTGCGCAGGAACACGTGAGCTTTATCGTTCTTCCGAGAGACGCCGCTTTGGAACCGAAATCACTTTTATCTTTCTGTTACAGGCGAGGCCGTACAACAACATTTCCGGATTAGGCCGAGCAACAGTTCCGTGCTTGAGGGCGGCGAAGTGGTAATTCCTTGCGAGGTTACAAACCGAGTCGGTGCCGTCCAATGGGTCAAAGACGGATTTGCTTATGTTATACAGCCGAGTAAGTTCAATATTAAATATTTAATATTAAAGTACAAACTATATCGCAATTTCTTTTGTTAAATATACTTTGTTGAAAAATCCACAAACTTGCATTAATGTCTCCAAAAAATATTGAGCCGTTGAATAATTTTTTAATTATAAGGTTTTTTGAAAATGAACAAAATTTTCAATTTTTAATGGATAAAATGCTTGCAAATTATATACATACATTTTTTCCAAAATATTTATTATTTTTTAATTCAATAGAATTTTAAATCAAGACTTATATGAGGAATATGGAAATTAAAAAATTATAAAAATAAGCAGTACCTACATTTAAGAAAATTTTAACTTTAAGCTTTAAAATTAAAGTTTTATTACGTAGAATATATTTGCGATATATTGCATACATCTTACAGTTTTAATTTAATTACTGTTAAAATGTCAAATTTAAAGTTAAATATAAAATATATTACATCATTGCAGGTGTGCGTTGCGCGTAATTAAGTTAGAAGTTACATTTAGTTTGATATTTGCCTTCACGAAATAGAAATTACTTCTTTTACCATCTTTATTACATTTCAATCATTTCACTTGAAAAAAAAAAAGATAAAAATTATAGATATAGCAAAAATAAAAAAAACAAACGGAGAAAATATACATTTGTTATCATAAGAACCAAATGTGTATGTTGCATGCATGTCAAATTTGGTAAAGACTGGTAATTCGGTATTTGTGCAATTAACGCCTCGGAAAAACCAACCACTCAGGTCTAAATCCACCAATCCACCAATTAAAGCGCGCGTACAACAAAAGCTACTTGTATTTTCAATAGAAAATTGTGTTTTCATTGCACCCGGAATCGGTTTACACGGGAATTTTCGAAAATAGTACATTAACAGTACTAATCAAGAACTACCTGTGCTTTGTTTTCTATTTAATTCAGGGATTTACATCACATAATGACTGTATAATGTTACGTGCAATTGCATATCTACGCGAATGTTTAATAACATATTTTAAACTTAAAATTTGATATTTTATAACTATTTTTTTGGAATAGATGTGAATTTTTTTCTTTAAAAGATATTGTTATAAAATTTATTTATCAATTTTCCCTAAAAAGAAAAAATTAATGTAGCATTTTATTCTAAAAATGCTAATCTCAAATAAACTAAATTTTAATATTTCTATTTAGAAACAAAACATTTTCTTCAGTAAATTGTCGATTAATAGACAATTAGAATAAAAAACGTTCGTAATTTAAGTAATTTCTGTGCACGTCAGGAAAAGTTTAACATCGATAACGCTAAGATACCGAAAGTTTTGAAATTTACTAGTTTTCCTTTTCCAGATACTTTGCGTATATAAAACAACTTTTACGATCTTACTTAAAGAACGTAGTAGCGATGTGGATTTATTATTTAAGTCTGGCTATAAAAAGGAGGCCAAGAGCGAATAGACTATCGGCGGCGAGCGGTTAATTACTCAGCGATCTCATCGACTTCCGGCTATCGTAATCGCATCGTTATGCCGAGAGTGCTCGCATACCGACCGAATACGCGCGTAATAAACGGAGTTAAAATTAAAGCCGAGATATTAGTTGCGTATCCGCTCATAAATTACGATGCTGTTTAGCGGCGGGGCGAAAAATGTTAACCGGCCGATTCCATCAACCGATCGTTACACGTGAGAGCCTGACGCAAATGATTCCGATTGATATTACAGACGGCGACATCGTGGGCCATCCCAGACTAAAGATGATCGGCGATCAAAACGCCGGTATTTACAACTTGAGGATCACCGACGCGTCTCTCACCGACGACGGCGAATACGAGTGTCAAGTCGGGCGGTATCTGCGAATCAAGCCGATTCGCGCCAGCGCTCATTTGATCGTCACTTGTGAGTAGAAACATGACAATGCATGATTGAAAAGTTTAACCCTTTTGTCGCAAATATTGTGGAAATCCTTCTAAATATTTGTACTGCAAAAATAATTTTCAATATTTTATGTAGTATGAAAAACACATTTATTTCAAAGTAACGTTTTATTAAAATTTACCATTGTAAAGAATTTATAACAAATAATAACTCTTGAAATATATATTTATATAAATATTTGTTTTTCGGCCATTTGAATCAAAAGTATGAAAAAATATATTAATTTTTGTTTTAAATGAAACTACTACAATCAATTCAAAAAGGATAAATTGTTTTATTTTAACTGTAATTTTAATCTATTAATACGTTAGATTGCTGTAGACGCTATGGCGAGTAATTTTATGGTTTAACGTTAATAATTGCCTTTATATTTCAATTTCTTTGAACTCCTTTTTGTGCGAAAATATTTCTAACAAAAACATCGAATATGTCGATTGAAAAATCTCAACGAAATCACTAACTTCGGAAAATGGATGAAGTCGACCGTAAAACGAACATCGTATGTTAATTGAAACTTTCCGAACGTAACAGCGACATTTTCCCGACTATCGAGAGGAATTCCAGTTGCAAGACACAAAAATACTTGCCCAACTGCTTAGGAATAATCACAGTGAAATCGTTCCGACGATAATCTCGCGCGGGACGCAGTCGTTAAAATGCAAAGCGTGTCGTAACTCGAATTACAAACTCGCGATCTCGAAACCGCGCTTAAAGTTAATTTACGCGTTCGTATGGGCGTTTCGTTACGCCGCGAAAGAGCGACTTTCGGGGTTTCGCGAGAGAACGGTTTATGCGCTATACGGCAGGCCGACAATGACATTCGCCGGCCCGACTGGTGCCGGTGCCAACACATTTCCGCACCATCGACGACGACGTGTTTCCTTCTCTCTCACTCTCACTCTGTCTCTCACTCTCATCTGTAAATTATGCAGAAGTTATTAAACGCGACAATATGCACTCGCCAAGCTCGCGCGCAAACTAGTTCGCGAAGCGGAACGAAGCTAGTTTTCGCACACGCGCAACCTTTCCGGCGCGACGGCGGAGAGCCGAAGCGACGTGCTTGCTTTTGAGGAACGACGGTTTAATGCCGGGAGTTGGCGGGATCGCGACCTCTCGTCGGGACCATTCATTGACCGCGCCATTCTTCTTTCTCTCCGTGCTGCTTTCTCACATTCGGAGCGGCGCACCGACACCGCACTCGATTCGCACACCCGCGGTAGTATGTCGCGTTCTCTGTTACGATCGGAATGCAGCAGTGCGTTCGCGAATACATCGCAGAGCTAATTCCGAGACTGCTTCCGGTTTGTCGACGGCTCCGATGACAAACGTTTGTTTGAAAACGGATTTTTCTTTCACGTTTTGCGAGAAACGGGAATGCTCGCGAATTCACCTTTTGACCCGCGTTGACCGACTTGCAGCACTTTTCTCAGAATTCACACAATTCGCACCAAAATCCACTTTTTTCCGCTTACCTCAGAGAAATTCAATTGGCAATCGGCTGTGTTACAGTTATCGCTGCGAAGTTTACACGATATTTTTCATTATCGTTAATCAGTTTAAAAGAATACACACGAATTTTCGAGTTATACAGAATCACCGTGTACAAACTGTAACTAATTTTAATTTTCTGTAGATTTCAGCAGTGTATAAATTATACATTATAGAATTACCATAACGAGAAACTCGCCGGGTCAATATGACTTATCTGCTTAATGCCTCGGTGATTTTGCGAGCAAGCCGTAGAGCTTCGCGGGACCTACTTCTCGATACATAGCTTATTAAAAAGAAAAGAATAATGCATTTTATTAATCTCATAACTGTACATTCCACTCTTTCTCGATCTAAATGTTCCGCGGTGACTCTCGCAGTTTTATAATATTGGTAAAAATTCCTTCGCATAATAATGTTCACGCATCAAAAATGATATTACACGCAAATAATGTTGCACGGTAATGATAATACTAATGCTAATAGTTATTAATAACCAGACTATTAATTAAACCTAATTAAAAAAATTTTCCCCTGCTCTAATGCGGATAATAAACTTGTAACTTGGAATATTTTTTATCCGAGCTCGCAGACCACGTATTATATAAGCGAGCATGGCTGGAATGATATTAGCCATGATGTGCAAACTCTCCGTTCTCGAGAGGGCGAGTCGGAGGGTACGCGCGGGTTTTGCACCTGCGCCAGGCTTTTAATAAAACGGGCACTGCGGGTGCGGGAGCGCATTACTAAGTCGTCATATCCGTCAAATCAATCTTCCCTGTTGCACACGTTCGCGTTCATTACGCTCGTGTATACACAGTGACGCTGAAAATACGCGGCGCGGACACCACCGACGATAATCCGGCTACGGAGTCAAATGGATCATCGGTGAAAATCGCACGCGCGCGCGCGCGCTCGCTCGCTCGAATCCCGATCGTTAACGAGCGACATCGAGCCGGTAAATCTCACGCCCGAGCGCGCGTCTATTTTGCAAACGCATAGGGGTATGCGTTTTTCGCTCGTGTGTCTCACATGTACACGCGCGCACAAGCGCGATCCGCGTCATTAATTACGCGCGTAACGGTATTTTCCCGATCCCGCACCGGTAAACGGATATAATTGTATTTCGCTTTACTCTCTACCGATACCCGTGTCGTCGTCATATTTCCTCTGCCTTAATAATTCAAATCGATTTTCCGCTTATCCCTCCCCCCCCCTCCCACCCCTCCCGTCCAACCCGATCGCCATTATCGCCAAATAGCGAAGTTATCCTGTCACGGACAGACTTACAGGCATCGAGCGTAACAAGTTCGCGAAAATAATTACTAGAGAAAAGGTCTTTAACCTTTCGTCGTTTATACGTTCACGAAAATAAAATGTATTTATCGGACAAAGCGATGGTTGATAATGCCGTCAATCAAGGTCAATGCATTGATCGACATGCACGTTTATTTATAACGCAAGCTTTATGAGAGATTGGAGTAAATTCCGTCGATGAATAGAAAAGATAACAGTATATAGATAACAGTATACAGATTAAGAAAATTAAAAGAATATACGAATTAATTGGTGTCAATTATTATCCGTCAGAAAGAAAATTTGTTGCTGAAGGATAAAGAAATGTGTATTTGATCCCATTATTTCTTAATTAAAAATTTTCTCCAAAATATGGAGCAGTATTAGGTCGTCCGAAAGGTTCATAGTGTTCTCAAAACACTACAAATTTTTCGGTTGACTTAACATGTTCAAAAGCATTCAAATAAAAATTAAAACCAAACATTCAATCTATTCAAAGCACGTTCGAAATGGCGCTGTCAGTCCGAAGACACATTTTGTTAATTGCTACGAAAGCACAACATGTTTTTCTACTTTGAAACGGCAGTATGCAAACGATGAGAGAATGAATGTCGTTCGTATGCACGCTATAACCATTTGAAGCTCGCACTTCTCGACAGCGGTGCACGTGGAAGTGTTCCCATGTACATGATTACTCTGCAAAAAGGGCTATCGGGACACGCGTAATGTGGCTACATTGTACTTGTTCTTAAACGAAACGGCGCTAAAAACACGTCCGCGTGTTCTTTCAAGATGAGGCGAATTTCTCGTTTACATCTCAACGATGCGACCCGACATTCTCTACCGGTATTAACGGTACTTTTCTGTCTCTTTAATTGTTCAAAATTGCCTGCGATAGCAGCAACGATAAAAATTCACATAATGCTGCTAATCGGAAAAAAATTGAAATCGCTACAAGCAAATAAGCTTTTAACTTCTTCAAAAGTAATCTTTTTTTAACTGTAAGAAAAAGCATATGAACTAATTCTTATTTCTTTAATAAAAAAAAGTATAATTAATCAAATTTAAAATATCGTTAGAAAATATGTTTGCAAACAACATTCCGGATTTTATCTGCGTGAATAAATTTTTCAAGATCAAATTTGCATATACCTAATTTTTCCTGAGAAAATGACATAATTACATAAAATTGTCGCACGGAAGTCTTTCATATTTCACGACAGAATGAAGACGTGAGATCATCGTTCTCGCAGTTCACGGTTACGTTCAGGGTGGATATCCGATAACAGAACAGCCATTGCCGTTTCTCGACTTGTCTTGAGAAAAGACTTCCGTATTTTTCCAGGCATTGGGCGAATTCGCGGTCTGATACGCAAAGAATGAAGAGGAGAAAGAAGGCAGGACGAGTAAAAATGTCGGAGCGCGAGGGGACATTTCTTACGATCCAACGAGTAAATGAGGGAGTTGCGGGAAAGTAGGGTAAACGAGAGTGGTATACATGTACTGGAATAAGACGCCGCTGCTTTATTAAAAATAGCGAACCAGAGGCTTCCGATGAGACGTTTAATCTTCCGACCGCGGCATTAAAAAAGCACCGTAAGCACACCGGCAGTAGTTAACTTCCCTTTCCAATGGCATCATATAATATGAAAAGTTTCTTACGATTTTACATTCTCATTGCGTTTGCTTTTTAGTAAAATAACTTCACTGCATTTTCGTTCGACCGCATTACCTTTTTCAAATCAAGATTCTATAAAATTATCATTTCAAATTATTCTCGTCTCCTACTTTTTTCTATTTCTCCTTCTTTTTATTTTATCATATTTTGCACTTATTATTGGATGTATTTATTTTTTTTTGAATACTGATTGTACGTTCTGAATTCTGTTTTTGCGCACTTTTATTTTTTTAAACTATTTTTTTACTTTACCAATCTCTGCTATTGTTTACTCTGTACTGCGATCGCATTGTTCTTATGGGATTCTGCATGGAGAAGTCTGTTTTATAATTAAAAAAATATGCCTATTAAGTTCTAACATTTACATCGAACGAAGACAGAACTGTTTCCGCAAAAGTATTTTTTATTACAGATGTATATATGTGTACATTTCGATTCAATGGTTCATTATAGGCTGACTGACATTTCTGCAATATGAATTACGTATTGATTAGTTAAT